TCCGCAGATGCAGGTACGAAAAGAGAATAGAGCATTGGCTCCGTTCGTCGGACTCTGCAACAGGTATTCCGTCTCGCCATAGAGCGCTGAGCAAGTGAATTCATGGCTTATATACAGTGTAAATGAAACTGCCTCCATGATTGCCACTACGACTTTCAACGGGAGTTGTCTACACTTCATATCCCGGAAATGGAGAGTGCATGGCTGCGTACTTCATTTGGATGTGCTGCGCTTTTGGAGGGATGTCGCGGTTTCAGAACAGTTGCAATCATGGCTTCGATCAGTACAAGAAAGGGCAACACTTGTACCAAATGGAATCGTCCAAGAGCAGCGCATCCTACGATACGTTAATCAGAGTAGGCAGCCACGCCCACTTCATCACTAGAATGTGAGTGTATGTGGTGCGTCCCAAGGAGAACTCAGTCAGTGCCTCTGTGCTCAGTTCCCATTTGCCCATTTGAGGGGCCCCGCGATGGCGCGGGACTAACGCTAATGAGACGAAGAAGAGTGCTCAGTTCCCATTTATCGCAAGTGTGAGAGGTTCACTGAAAGATTTCCGAGTTTTCTGTATAAAAAAGTCGTTAGCTAACAGTTGTCTACAAACGTCAACATTCAAACTATGTGTGCTCCGAAAGATATAACCCATTCCGAGTTTCAAGATAAAGCCGTTTTTGCAGAACGCTTCGAAGGAGAATTTTTGATAACTTCAAGTATGATTGATTGATTGATGATTATAATTTTTGATATAACCTAGTGGTTGTAGTGAACCAACCTGGACAGTGTATAAGAACATCACACCGATGCCGATCCAGCTGTGAACGGAGGTGAAGTGGCTCAAATCCTGAACTCATACATCAGGTATTGGACTATTAAATATGCAGGGGCAGTTTGCCGACGGGGAGGGGGGCATTTTGCACTTTCGTTGCTTCACTAGTTCTGGTTTACAAGTCTCACTCTGGTGAAACCTGTGAACTCTTGTGAAGCTGGAGCAAGCTCGTCAAGCCATCATGGTAAAACCTGTCAACTCGAGAAGAGGCTGTCTAGATGGGAAGTCGTAAAAATGCAAAATGCCCCCCGTCGCCAAACAGCGTCAAATATGCAGTTATTTCAACTAGGAACTACTTTTTCGAATAAGACATTATTTTGAAGGTACCCATCCCTATTCCATCAAGGTAACAGTATACTAGTAACGTAGTCGGCGAATTCTGCTTTCACAGGCGCATTGCACGATTTCACCATCCCAATGATTCTTTCCGCGTGCACTGAGCAGCAGTTGCAGATTATTGTACCGATTTTGTGACTTGAAAGTGCATGGCAAAACCCTAGAAATTACAGCCTCCTTTTTAGGCAAGGAACGCCCATCAGGCGTGGTCTTGAGTGACACCTACTTTGTGGCAAAAGAGGATTGTTATTTATTGTGATAAGATAAGAAATATGCAGAAGTGGCTCGTAGGAGAGTGACGTGATGAAGGGAGAAATGATATCGCAAATTTGAAATGTTATCTGCTAGCGAGAATTCGTCACGACACACTCTGTATCCAAGAGACAGGTGGGTCTTAATTGCGTATTTAGTTTCAACGATATGATAAAAATTAAATGGCAAATTTTGGGCATTCAACACTAAACTGAAGCCTGTCTAGTCCTGCTAGGAAGGAGCAGCAATTTCTGGGACCGCTGTCTCTCGCATCAGGGGATGCGCAGTGTATTTTTCGTGAAAAACTGAAGTTGATCGGTTCACGGCGTGTTTCAGTTTCCCTAAGGACGCCAGGCTGGCTACTTTGCTATATTTAGACTAAAAGTCATCGAAGCTGCGAGGCATGGTCTACGCCAATTTATTAGTGAATGAAAGTATAGGGGCCGGAGAGCTTTCATCATTGGTCGCATCTCATCGCCATTCTATATAAGTAAGGGCGGTCCAATTAGAGGGACAATTATATGAATGAAGTCATAGGGGCCGGAGAGCTTTTCATATTGGTCGCACCTCATCGCCATTTTGTATAAGTAGGGGCGGTCCAATGAGAGAGAACTCCCACCCGGCTGCCCCTCCCGATCATGCCCCCATGGTCAGGCTGACTCCGCCCACACGATCATCACGGAATGGACCTTATATTGCTGCAGACGAAAATGAAATACTGATACTAGAAAATGAAATACTGATACTATTTAATCACATACGCTGGCCGAATAAGTATTTATTTCTATAAGCATGTAATTTTGATGGCACTCGGGCAGGAAGGGACGGCTCAGGACTTGAAAACAGAGATGACAAGCGGATCGGGCCGAGAACAGTGAGCGACAGAATTGTAGTTGGAAACAACGATAGGACAATCCTTCAAGTAAAGTTAGCATTATATGCCACCGTGTATCGTAAACGTGGGTGCGGATTCCACCTGGTTAAATATGGGTCTCAAGATTTGAGGGTGGAGGTGTTGCAGTGACCATACGTAGCGCTTACTTATCCTGCGGTCAGAGACAAATCCTGGTTCGGCTCCCGCCCAGATCAACCATCCCTTCGGCAATGTGGAGCACGATTCGTCTGAGAGGATAAGAACACTGACTATCGCATCGGCTGGACCTCGCAACTCATAGCAAAGGCCAAATCGCATTCAATAAGCCATCACGATTCTAAATGGAAGTGGAATGCGTGCCCGGTTATTCGCCCCTCTGCTAGGCTAGCATTTCTTGGAACCGACTGGAACGCATCCATTCGCATTGCGACGTGAGTTAAGAGCTTTGTCCGCCTATTCGGGAGCAGTATGCTCCTAATCGTCACAGTAATTCTGCTTTTTGTGAAAAAAAACTAATCTGTTGGACTCTATGACCATCATTACCTGTTATGTGGAGATTTCAGCAATCATACAAACATTATAGAAACGAAGTTCCGACTCACGTGCAGATTTTTATTTATGATAATAGCAGCGAAAGCAGTGGTGAAGAATGCGATCGCCAACACGTGAAATACAACATGAACAAATTTCGACAGGATTTTACAGTCGTACCGATACATTCGATAAGAAAGAAGCGCTGGAAAAACATTTTACTCTGAATGAGGTTGAAAAGTCGCTCTCAAGGTATCGTAAGGCGAATTCTTAGGAGCTTGGTGAATTCGATAAACTTGTGCCTACTGAAAAGTCGTACTGAATACTTCTAGTGCTCCTTACCTTCTCCTTGGAAAAACACCAGGCCTGTACTCATGAACATTCCGTGGAAGTTTAGTCCAGCACGATTCTCCTTCTCCGGCCATCTTATGCCATAATCCACCGTGTTAAAAAGGTAACCTGAATTATTTCTGTAACACTTGAATACACAGATATCGAGTCCACTTTGCTGTTTAAAGCACTTGGAAGTTGTGCACGTTCAAGTTGAGCATTTTGGATCGCGCCACGCGCCTAATTCTGCTGGGATTCATTGAATAATCAGCAAAATGTTCTAATTCAATGATGTGATAATTATTCTAATTTTCAAGTGTTTTTGGATTTTATCCATAATCGAGCCTCATACCGGTTCCACACAATTTTTTTATTGACACTAACTAAGAAAACGTATTAGGGGTATGCGGAAAGCCTTGATACGAAGAAATCTGTGATAGACATGGAATCCAAGGTGTTGGGCCGCAAAGAGAGTTTTTGCGCCCTTCGACCTCGAATTTCGAATGAGCCTATCTCGGTTAAAACGAATCCCTATTAGGTAAGATCATAATTATTAGCAGAGTTTCGCATATGAGGAGAAGGCGTGGGTATCCCAATTTCTGGTCCGGAGCGATGAAGTCGGCGTATGCCGCAATAGCATCACGTTGGCCTTTGAAACAGTTCTCCCTGAGGGAACTGCCGAGATCTTTGAAAAAGCGATAGACTGTAGGAGCTAGATTTGCCAAATATGGTGCGGGAAAGTTCCGTAGGTGATCTCGTTCAACTTCTTCAGGGTAAGGTGTGCGATGTGAGGTCTACCTAGTTAGTTGTCGTGGAGTTGAATCGGGCCAACCTTGGCCGGTTTCATCGACACTGCTTTCCAGCTGTGGTGGCCCAGCCCGGATCCAGGCTGTGGGTCGGGCCAGCTTCAGACCACCAAATCGCTACCATAACTTTCCCTCCGCTGCATCAGCTCGAGGAAATGTTAAAGAGCTTGATTCTTGTCCGGCCACTGACCAGGTCGTGGCAGGTTATCGTATATAATCCAATCCTCACCCCACGTCATGATGGAATCTAGAAATGGGTGGCTTCTATTGCGTAAAAACAGTACAAAAGTGAGATCTGGGCCACGATCTTTCTGGTAGCCTCAGTTCCTGCGGCACCCATCATCAAGCTTCTTCGATTTTCCGATCTGCATGTGGGTACAAACCATCCTGCTTGAGACATCCAACCCCGACGCATTATCCTTCATGACGGCACGCGATTCTTTTTGAACAGTGCTCTCAATTGTTGGTTGTCAAAATCTGATGGTCACCAGGCTAATCATCTTCACGGCTCCCTTTCAATTTCATATGGCCGGTAAGAAATTTCTTTTACTGCCGCTGTTATAACTCATTCAGTGGCCCTTAGTCAAAGGTTTTGTCGACCCTAAGATGTTCCCCCCAGCTTTCCTGTCCGATTCAAATTGGAATAGCAGAATGCGAATATGTGCTACGTTTCAACCATCCGAAAAGCAGATAATTCACGCCGAAACAAAGTCGATCGAAGGATGGGATAGAGCGAGAAATACGCTTCGAAGTGATATGGAACATAAGAGTAACGCCACAGAAGGTAACGTAGAGAGTGGCATTCGGAATGGATAGCCGAAAATTGCAAGGACTTTCTTCACACCGTCATAGTAAAGTTGTCTCACCGCTTCTCAAACTGGAAAAATTCAACCACATTTCAGAAGGTGTCGCCAAGTGCGCCCCTCCCCTCTGAGGGCACATCATCGTTGGGGATTCCCCAACAGGGAGGGTGGTCGTATTTGGTCTGAGAAAAATTGTTTTTCATAGTTGATTTTTCGTGATCGTACGAAGCGATCGAAATCCACAACTAATAATGTGTCCTGCCCCCTCTTCTCTGTGACGGTCAGATACGACGTCATTGATGCGTGGTTTCGACATGCGGAGCACGGAATTTGTTCACATATGCCATTTCTGTCGTGCTTCAATGAAGACGTTTCTATAAAAATTGCAAAATTTACTTGCCGCTAAGAATGACGAATGTAAAACCGCATAGTTGGCTGAATGACACCACCACATCGAATGGAGCGTATCTTTTGTAGTAGCTGGTCGTCATAGAACTAGCAGACATTCCTGTAAAATGACACCTTACAGACACAGCTTTTGAAGAGAATACATGCGAAAGTTCCTAAGCAGAGTGCACGAACGTCTCCAATGAAATTGTTCACAAAGAGGCCCGAGTGAATTTGAGAAAATTTCAAAAGAGCTCTAAGGTTTATGACCAACAGTAGCGAACTAGGGCTTAGTCAACTGTGGTACCGAAAAAGAACAAAACAAAAAGAGATTGTAGCGATAAGAGTGACGTAGGTTAAAAAAATTATATTGCTGAGGATCGACGTCACAATCAAGAAGTGGCAGATAATGGTACAAAAATTATGGCCCTAGCGAGTGCAACACCACAGTTTGACAAACCACACCCTCTGCTATTGTTGAGGGAACACATTGAAGCAGACTACCTGAGATTCAGATTTACATGTTTCATTAGAAGGATTTGAAGGCAAATTGCACCAGCAAAGCAAATAATGCGCCTAGCCGGACAGGTTTTTCGCCCCTGATCAGGCACTGAGTAGCGCCTTTCCAAAGGGAGGGTACCCCTATAGCGCCATATTCAAGTTCAACCCCCGGTACGTTCACCTGCCAAGGCCCGCCCTCCCAAATGTCGACCTAAAGTCGTATCGCTCATTTGCGCTAGTACAATTATGAGTAGGGATTGATATGGCAGCAGCTTGCTGTGCTGAATGGCATAGGTGAGTACACGTTTATTGGCACGAAGCAGCAGTAAGCTCGCGAAACGTAATTATTTGCTTTCTTAACTGTGTAGAACACAAGCGCTTTTTCTAACCCCACTATGAAACACCCCTGCTACCGTTTGAGATCGAGTAACAAATTATCGTGCCTTATGCCTTCAAGGGAACCGAGGCATATTGAGGATAAGAAGCCGTTTAGTTTATCAATGACAGGTGGAAGAGCGAATAGTATTTGGCATTGGGAGTGGCTTTAGAGTGAAAGCAAACTTTTGAAAGTGAGGAGAACTGTAAAGAGCTTTCTCGGGTTGGTAAAAAGATAAATCGAGCGAAATTACATTGCGTTGTGGATAAAGGCCTATCTGCGAAGACAGTGGGGTGGAGTCCTCAATCCAGCAAGAACTAACTTTTAGACTCCAGTAGTCTCCAACTTCCCTCTTATTAAAACCTCGGCATAGTTGTTAAGTAGAGATGGTTTCTCATGTGTCGGCACATAAAACAATATCTTTAGATGACTACTGCACAATTTTTTCGTGATGTGGGACACGAAAAAAAGGCCCTGACTGTTTCACATGTTGCCCTTTGAAGGAACATTGCCATTTGAAAAGGTCCTTGTGCGAATTGCAAATTTCGTAGCCATGAGATTAAGGGGGTTCCAGGATGGACAAGCCAGCTTTCAAAAAGCACTAAAGTAGTTCTGATGGGAGGACAATAATCTCAGTTTTGCACAAAGATTTCGTTGACTGCCCCTCCTTCTCCTCTCCAGTGCAGGTCCATGTAGGGCCAAAATTTTTTACGTGACCACAATAATTCTGGAGTCATTCAAAACAGGTAGTGAAAAAGAGCTCGTTGAACATAGAGTACGGGAGAAAAGCAATTGCTTCTAAAAGCGACCATCTACAGTGGTATCAGAAGACCGGTAAAACGCTATCATCGAATGGACAACCATAAAACTGGCGGGCTCTCAGACGGTCAAATCAGTGCAGAATATTCTTTCGCGTTGACAGCATGCCCAGTGATTTTAACCATGTTCTCTTTTGGACCCATGAGGCACGTTTTAGGTCACTCTCTTAAGGGCACAGGCTTCCGTAGCAGATGGAAAGGGATACAAACAAGTCCGCCCTAGCCCACCTTCTTGGAATAGACGGAAAAAACGAAACATTCACAAATCTAATTCTGGCAAATTAATGTCGGCGAGGAAGTTGAGCGAACTCGAGCGAAACGGGACCAAGAGGCTATGCTTGATAAATTGTGCATGTCTCCAAACTACAATACCCATTGTGTCTTGACTTATTTAACTACATGTAATAATTATCCGCCCAGACCCTTGGACTTTCTCTGGGCGTCATTGTGAGCATAAATAAATAATGAAATAAATAACAAATAAACTAGTTGGGATTTGAATCTGTACTGCGATCGCTATATTTCAGACGTTAGTTTCATATTCAGTAATATTCAGATAGGTGAACACGAACTTGCGACTTGTTGCCTTCAAAGGCGAGAAGGAGGACGAAATTAATGGGAGGTAAAAATGAGGTGGTGAGATCCGTGTAAGAATCTCTTCACACGGTCATCGCTGAATGTGCTGTAAGTATAGTCCCAAACGGGCGCGATCTTGAGCATCTCCGTAGTGGGTGGCGTACGGGGTACTTGATGCCCACCCCACCCGCGGATTTTTTTGAAAAAAAATTTGGCGGGCGAATAGTAGGCTGTGCAAAGATCTCGTGCGGGCGAGAAAATTTGGGGTTGTACTCTGTGGAAATCTCCCATAAGGGATGGTCTGTCCTAGCTCTTCGGAGGAGTTCTTTTGAAATATTACAGATATTACAGATAGTGAGAGTTTTCCAAACGGCTTGAAAATTTCGCCAAGTATACTCTTAACACATATTTTTCATGAATTACGGATTCTTCATGGGAAGTGTGGCAGCTTTTGAGAAGAGAAAATATTTGTCTCTGCATTATGGTCTCAATCTCACAAAAGGTCCCAAGCGGGGAAGGCAAGTGTCATTCAAAGCACAAAAATATAAAAGCTTAGCGTTAAAGTCACAAATTTAAATATAAAAGTCGGAAACACTAGGAATCAGGCTTTCTTTGTGATAGGTAAGAGAGGAAAAATAGATGTGGTTCTCGGGCGAGAGGCCAGACAAGAGCGACGAGAGAGCACGCAAACGTGTGAGAAACGGATAAGATATTTATAACTGTGGGCGGAGTCACTGACTTTTCGGCGGAATCACTTGTACAACCTTGTGCTTTACTTGCCGCTA